CAAACAATCAAAGCCTTGGCTGACCATATAGAGAGTCAGTGTATTCATGATGGCTCTCCAGTTTTATTTATTTATTTATTATTTAGAACATTTTTATCCCATCCTATTCTCAACCTCTGAAGATGGACTCAGGGCGGCTTCCAACAATATAAAAGCACCAATAAAATACACAATTACACAAAATGATAACAAATATACATTTAAAAACAGTTTGCCAAGTTTAAAATGTACTCCAAATCAGTCCAAAAATGTAGTCCATAAAATCTTATCTACACCAATAAAAACTGTCTATTCTGTGAATGCTTGCTCCCACAGCCAAGTCATAATTTATTATTATTATTATTATTATTATTATTATTATTATTATTTATTTGGAGTGCTTCTACCCCACCCTTCTCAACCCCCTAGGGGGGACTCAGGGCGGCTTACAAAAGGCACAATTCAATGCCTAACAATTCACAAAATACAATACAAAATACAATACACAATTTATCATAGTGTCTTACAAAAAGTCAGGAGGCAGGGGGCAGTTCTAACCTCTTTAGGGAGGGAGTTCCACTGCCAAGGTGCCACCATGGAGAAGGCCCTCTCTCCCCTGACAGAAAAAGCCTTAGATACAAGTGAAAGCAAATAAAAAGGCTTTACTTCAGCCAAAATAAAGACAATACACACTCTTCACGTAACATAAAACAGAAGTCTTCACATCAGACAGCAAAATAAAGTCTTACTAGCTGTGAACAACAAGAGCCTTCAGAGATCCGATGCTGGAACAATGATACAGCGCTGGTAACAGGAACTCCTCCGAAAACAGGTCAGTTGCAGCCAGCACTGAACCCCTGACTTTGCTGTTAATTTATAGCCCCGAACTTCTCAGCTCAGCTAACCCTCAGGTGTGGTCTTATTGCTCAGCATTATCTCTGCTAGCTTAAAATGATCTTCTTCTGCTCTCTTTCTCCCTTTGACATTCCAGAAATGTAGGGATTTCTGATATATCTGCCACCTCTCCTCCTTCTTCTTCCTCCTCACCACTCAGCCCCAAATCCCCAACTGTGGTTTCTTCCATGACCCTTTCTCCTTCTCCCTCAGAGTCAGAAGAGTAGTCCACAACATAGGCTGAGCCCCCTCTTCCATGGGAGCTGCAGGCTTTCAGCCTCACGTTGAAAGGACAAACATACAGAGCTTACCATGGTGACAAAGGGAATAATCTACACACAAAGGTTTTGATCGTTATCTGGCTTGGGAAATAGAGGGACACTGGCTGTGATTACCTTTCCCAGGGGATTATGCGACCGGAAGGCATGGAAAGGTAGCTGCCTTCTAGATACAATTCATTTGATACAGTTTATACAATTCATACTTTTAGGAACTGACATAGTACATAAAGATACAAATTATATAAAAATCATTAAATTGATACATTTTATTAAACTGATAGAACTGATACAGTTTGTATTGTGCACTTTGGCATTTCACAACTCCGGATCCATGGAAAAGGTTTTAATAATAAAGAAAAAAAATCATATAGTTTGCTTCGAAATAACTTGGTAATATATAAATCTGGGGGGGGGGGTTGCCTCAATAACAGAGGGAGGAAAGAAGGCAAAAGGAAGGAAAGAAGGAAGAAAGAGAGGAAACAAGGTAGGAAAGAAAGGAAAGGGGTAAAGGTATGAAAGACAGGAAGGGAAAAGGAGAAAGAAGGGAAAAGAAAGGAGAAAGAAGGGAAAAGAAAGGAGAAAGAAGGAAAAAGAAATGGAGAAGGAGACAAAAAAGAGGGAAGGAAGAGGGAGGAAAGAGGAAAGGAGGAAGGAGAAAAGAAAAAGGGGGAAGGTGTAGAACAGAAAATAAGGGGGAAAGGGGGGAAAGGAAGAAAGAGAGAAGGACAAGATGTATGAGAGAAAATATTAGTATTATAGAAAATATTTGTATTATATATTATATTGTATTATTCTTAGTATTCTATATTAAATTATAATATTATAATAATATGCATGTATACTTTACTTAGGCGATCCCTCGTAGTCCGAGGATGATGGTCCTCCAAGTTCGGTGTCCTGGGTGGGTCCGTAGGTGACTGTGGAGCCCTATTCTTGATCTGCATCTTCTCCCACAGTGAGGGCATTGGCTTCCAGGTGGAAGGCGGTCCCTTACAGTTAACTTAGAATCATAGAATCATAAAATCAAAGAGTTGGAAGAGACCTCATGGGCCATCCAGTCCAACCCCCTGCCAAGAAGCAGGAATATTGCATTCAAATCACCCCTGACAGATGGCCATCCAGCCTCTGCTTAAAAGCTTCCAAAGGAGGAGCCTCCACCACTCTCCGGGGCAGAGAGTTCCACTGCTGAACGGCTCTCACAGTCAGGAAGTTCTTCCTCATGTTCAGATGGAATCTCCTCTCTTGTAGTTTGAAGCCATTGTTCCGCATCCTAGTCTCCAGGAAGCAGAAAACAAGCTTGCTCCCTCCTCCCTGTGGCTTCCTCTCACATATTTATACATGGCTATCATATCTCCTCTCACCTTCTCTTCTTCAGGCTAAACATGCCCAGCTCCTTAAGCTGCTCCTCATAGGGCTTGTTCTCCAGACCCTTGATCATTTTAATCGCTCTCCTCTGGACACATTCCAGCTTGTCAATATCTCTCTTGAATTGTGGTGCCCAGAATTGGACACAATATTCCAGGTGTGGTCTAACCAAAGCAGAATAGAGGGGTAGCATTACTTCCCTAGATCAAGACACTATGCTCCTATTGATGCAGGCCAAAATCCCATTGGCTTTTTTTGCCGCCACATCACATTGTTGGCTCATGTTTAACTTGTTGTCCACGAGGACTCCAAGATCTTTTTCACACGTACTGCTCTCGAGCCAGGCGTCCCCCATTCTATATCTTTGCATTTCATTTTTCCTGCCGAAGTGGAGTATCTTGCATTTGTCACTGTTGAACTTCATTTTGTTAGTTTTGGCCCATCTCTCTAATCTGTCAAGATCGTTTTGAATTCTGCTCCTGTCCTCTGGACTATTGGCTATCCCTCCCAATTTGGTGTAGTCTGCAAACTTGATGATCATGCCTTCTAGCCCTTCATCTAAGTCATTAATAAAGATGTTGAACAGGACCGGGCCCAGGACGGAACCCTGCGGCACTCCACTTGTCACTTCTTTCCAAGATGAAGAGGAAGCATTGGTGAGCACCCTCTGGGTTCGTCCATTCAACCAATTACAGATCCACCTCACCGTAGTTTTGCCTAGCCCACATTGGACTAGTTTCCTTGCCAGAAGGTCATGGGGGACCTTGTCGAAGGCCTTACTGAAATCCAGGTACGCTACATCCACGGCATTCCCCGCATCTACCCAGCTTGTAACTCTATCGAAGAAAGAGATCAGATTAGTCTGGCATGACTTGTTTTTGATAAATCCATGTTGACTATTAGCGATGACTGCATTTGTTTCTAAGTGTTTGCAGACCGCTTCCTTAACAATCTTTTCCAGAATCTTGCCTGGTAACGACGTGAGGCTGACCGGACGGTAGTTGTTTGGGTCATCCTTTTTTCCCTTCTTGAAGATTGGGACCACATTGGCCCTCCTCCAATCTGCTGGAACTTCTGTTCTCCAAGAACTCTCAAAGATGGTTGCCAATGGTTCCGAAATGACTTCCGCTAGTTCCTTCAATACTCTTGGGTGTAGTTGATCTGGCCCTGGGGACTTGAACTCATTTAGAGCGGCCAGGTATTCCTGTACGACTTGTTTCCCAATTTGGAGTTGGATGTCCTCAAATCCCTCATCCACTCCGTCTTGCTGAGGTTGAAGATGACTTTCTTGGCACATTTCTCTCTTTCACCCTCCATTTGTGCCTCTTCAAATTCTGCAGCACTGCTGGTCACAGCTGACCTCTAGCTAGAGTGCTCAAGGGCCAGGGCTTCCCAGTTCTCAGTGTCTATGCCAGAGTTTTTAAGGTTGAGTCCATCTTTAAATCTCTTTTCCTGTCCACCAACATTCTGTTTTCCATTCTTGAGTTTGGAGTAGAGCAACTGCTTTGGGAGACGGTGGTCGGGCATCCGGACAACGTGGCCATTCCAGCAGAGTTGATGGCGGAGGACCATCACTTCAATGCTGGTGGTCTTGCTTCTCCCAGCACGCTGACGTTTGTCCGCCTGTCTATGTTATTATATTGCACTATACCACTATACTGCAATATTATTAGTAATATTACATCTAATATATAATATACAATTATATTATTATTATATATTATCAAATTGTACTATATTATTATACCACAGTATATATAATACACTATCAGTATAGTATACTATTAGTATTATCTAATATATTGTACTATATCATAAGTTGTAGTAAATATATTATATATGTTGTTGCTATAGTTGTTGTTAGCATATATATATATCCAGTGTTGCTTAGGTATTGTCTACTTTCTCCTTTCTCCAGCTCTGAGAAGGCCTGCCTCACAATGTCTCCATGGCAACGCACAGGCAACCATGGCAGACTCTCTTTGTGGCTCTTCTTTTCCTTCCTCATACACCTCCTTCTCTTATTGGCCGCCGCTCCTGCTCCTCAAGTTCAGGCCCCGCCCCATCTCGTTTGCTTCCCATTCTTCATATATATTAAGGAGGCGTGGCTTGAACCTTGGCCCCGCCCCTTCTGCTTGTGGGCTGGGAGAGCCTCCAAGGCGTCAAGCGGCGTGGAAGAGACGCGCACTCTGATTGGCTGGATTCCCTTCCTTCACCCCCAGGCTGACAGCCGAGAGAGGTGTTGTTGTTGAGCCAGGGCGGAGACACGCGCGCTCTGATTGGCTGCTCGCTTCCCCCTCCCGTCCAGGAGAGCGCGAGCCACTCCAGGAGGCGTTGCTACGCCCGGGCCGGGAAGCGCGCTCTGATTGGCTGGGCCGGGCTCTCCCTTGTCCTCGCGCGCTCCCTCGCCTTGTTCCTCCGCTGGGGGGAAGGCGCGCGCCTGCGCACAAGGCGCACGCCAGGGCAAGCCACGCGCCTCTCCCCCGCGCATGCGTACTCCCTTTTTCTCTGTGTCTCTTCCCTTTCTCTTGTGTCTCCCTGTTTGCAGGGGCTTTGCAGGCGTGAGCTGCAGGAAGCTGGCGAGCAAAGCAGGTCAGTGGGGTTTTTTTTTTACCCCCTTTCTTCTTATTTGGCTTTGCATTTGCAATAGCATATATATTTATATCTATATGCATGCATGCAAATATATACATATATGTGTTGGGAGCCCTCCCTTCCCAAAAACACACACATATGCACCCTTTTGCAGCTATTATTTGGGCGGGGGGGGGGATGCAAATAATAATAATAATCCAGAATTTCAAAAGTGCATACTTTATTTTAAAATGAATATAAAAAATATATATTTCTGATTTTTTACAAAAAAATTGCAAAAAAAAATCCTGATTTTGAAGCAGCTTTGAGGGGGATTTGCAAGCAGAAATCATAGAATTAGAAGCTGTCTAAAGGGTGTTTGAAAAAAATGGCAAAATCCAACATTAGAAGCTGTTAAATGTGTATACATTGTTTCTGGTATTTTAAAATAAATAATAAAAATATATATTCCTGAATTTTTCAAAATTGCAAAAAAAAAATCCTGATTTTGAAGCAGGTTTGAGTGGGTTGCAAGCAGAAATTATAGAATTAAAAGCTAAAGGGTGTTTGAAAAAAAACCAAAATCCAACATTAGAGGCTGTTAAATGTGTATACATTGTTTCTGGAAAAAATGCATTTCACACAAAATTACAAGCTGATAAAGGTGTGTGTGTGTGTGTATATATATATATATATATATATATATATATATATTATTTGGAGGGAAATACACAAATATTCCTGAATGAGAACTTATTAAGGTTGCATATATTGTTTGAAATAAAATGGCAAAAAAAAAAAAAAAATACATCCAGAATCAAAGTTGTTATCAAGGAAGAGAAATGAGAAAATAATATTCCTGAAATTGAATAGTATATACATTGTGTGGGGGAAAATTGCAAATAAAAATGTCCGAATAAGAAGCTGTTAAGGGTGAATACATTGTTTGAGTGGGATTAATGCAATATATATATATATTATTAATTTAAACAGGGGTGTATACATTTTTGGAGACAACCTCTGAGTGTTTTTCCGCGTGAGTTAACCGCCACCTATGAGGATTGGTAGATGCTGGATAAATGTAGTTTCTGTTTGCTTGAGAGTTACTATTCAAAATAGGCCGGAGAGTCTATTTTTATTTATTTATATTTTATATAAATAACAGAGAGTCTATTATATATATGTGTATGTGTGCATAATATATCTATATAAAATATGCAATATGATTCAAGCATCTGATGGGAGTCTTTTTGTGCAGTACATGTCTTTTAAGGCTGTATACATTTTGGGATGCTCTTTGTGTGTGTGTATATAATATGCAGGATTGTGCATGTCTCCAATGGGTGCCTTTATGTGCAAGACGTGCATGGTAAGATTGTATATATTTTTCGAGACACTCTTTGTGTGTTTGTATATATGTATATGCAGGATTGTATGCAATATACAGGACCGTGCATGTCTGTTGGGTGCCTTTATGTGTGATACGTGCCTGGCGTGGTTCGCTGCATGCATCCAGGGGCAGGGCTGCTGCTGCCTTGCCTTGGCTGCACGTGCGAGATCCCCGCCTGCAATCCTGGATGGGTTTGCCAAAAGGGGATCTTTTGGGGGAAATGGAGATGGAGAGAAGTGGAGGATGATATAGGGAAGGGGAAGGCATAGGTGGGGATCCAATGAACTGGGGATAATTTGGAGAGAGAAGCCATCACCGCCTTTGCTTTGCCTTCTCTGCTGCTTTGCAGGGCACTTGGATTCTATGAGCTGAATGGTATGTCTCAGAGAAGAAGGACTTTTCCATGTAGATGGAATAATAGAACAATACGAGTCCAATCCCCTGCCATGCTGTCAAAGAACCCCCGACAGATGGCCATCCAGCCTCTGTTTAAAAGCCTCCAAGGAAAGAGCATGCACCAGACTCCGAATCAGCGAGTTCCACTGGTGAACAGCTCTCCTTACGGTCAGGAAGTTCTTCCTCATGTTCAGGTGGAATCTCCTTTCCTGTCATTTGAACTCATTGAGTCCTAATTTCCAGGGCAGCAGAAAATTTATTTATTTATTTATTTACTTTATTTGTATACCGCACTCTCTCAGCCCGTAGGCGACTCAGTGCGGTTTACAGCCAGGTCAATATACAAAGTGCACAACATTAGCATTTAAAACAGTAACTAAGGCAACTACCTCAATATAACAATACATCAGTACATCAATATAACATCAATACATCCATATAACTAATCCATCATGTCTCATCAGTAAAGTCATAATCCGATCTCCTCGTCCATTATTCCAAGTTCCAAGATCAATCAATTGGTTGCACTGCTTAATTAAACGCCTGTTCAAAGAGCCAGGTCTTTATTCTTCTCCTGAACGCCAGCAGGGAGGGGGCCGATCTAATGTCTGCGGGAAGGGCGTTCCACAGCCGAGGGGCCACCACTGAGAAGGCCCTGTCTCTCGTCCCCACCAGCCTCCCCAGACGATCTTAATGTCCTAACTGGCTCATAGCCTGTTCCCTCTTCTTTATGACATCCTTTCAGATGCGTAGAGAGTGCTGTCCTTGGTTATATCTACACTGTACAATTCACTCAGTTTGACACCACTTTTAACTGTCGTGTCTCAGTGTTTTCGAATCCTGGGAGTTACAGCATGGTGGTGACACAAGCACTTTTTGGCAGAGAGAAGGCTGAAGACTAATTCGCACTATTCTATAGCATTGAGTGTCGAATTGCATTAATTTGATGGTGTAGATGGCACCTTTTGCTGTCTAATGATTCAGTGTATGCAAACTGTTTCACGTACATAATTACTGAAAGTATTCTATTTAAAATGACCTTCAGGCTATGCGTATAAAGTGCATGTGAAACATAAATGTTTAGACTTGGGTCCCATCTCCAAGATACCTTGAGAATGGATGGAAACATAGAAAGGGCCATTGTAGCCAAGAGCGGTTTTTATTACCTGGGTTGCATCTACATTGTAGATGACAGATTAGAGAGATGGGCCAAAACTAACAAAATGAAGTTCAACAGTGACAAATGCAAGATACTCCACTTTGGCAGAAAAAACGAAATGCAAAGATACAGAATGGGTGACGCCTGGCTCGAGAGCAGTACGTGTGAAAAAGATCTTGGAGACCTCGTGGACAACAAGTTAAACATGAGCCAACAATGTGATGTGGCGGCAAAAAAAGCCAATGGGATTTTGGCCTGCATCAATAGGAGCATAGTGTCTAGATCTAGGGAAGTAATGCTGCCCCTCTATTCTGTTTTGGTTAGACCACATCTGGAATATTGTGTCCAATTCTGGGCACCACAATTCAAGAGAGATATTGACAAGCTGGAATGTGTCCAGAGGAGGGCGACTAAAATGATCAAGGGTCTGGAGAACAAGCCCTATGAGGAGCGCTTAAGGAGCTGGGCATGTTTAGCCTGAAGAAGAGAAGGCTGAGAGGAGATATGATAGCCATGTATAAATATGTGAGAGGAAGCCACAGGGAGGAGGGAGCAAGCTTGTTTTCTGCTTCCCTGGAGACTAGGACACGGAACCATGGCTTCAAACTACAAGAGAGGAGATTCCATCTGAACATGAGGAAGAACTGTGAGAGCCGTTCAGCAGTGGAACTCTCTGCCCCGGAGTGTGGTGGAGGCTCCTTCTTTGGAAGCTTTTAATCAGAGGCTGGATGGCCATCTGTCAGGGGTGATTTGAATGCAATATTCCTGCTTCTTGGCAGGGGGTTGGACTGGATGGCCTCTTCCAATTCTTTGATTCTATGATTCTATGTAGACTTAATGCAGTTATGAATGAAAGAGTTGGACCATCAGCCAGTGGAGCTGGCATAACAGAGGGGTGGTGTGCTCCCTGTATGACTCTCCAGTGAGTAATCCAGTGAGTAATCTATTTCAGAGGAAGGAGGTGACAAAACCATCTCAAAGGATTCTTTGCACAAGAAAACGATATAAAAATTCATGGGATTAGCATAAGTTGACAGGTGACTTGAAGACACTATCGATACACATGTGGTCAGTCTATCATGGAGTCTACCTAATATGTTTGTTTAGAAAGTATTTGCCTTTTTCTTCCTCGAGGCTGAGAGAGTGTGACTTGCACAAGTCCCTTCCAGTGGGTTTGTCGGGCTGAGCAGGGATTGGAAATTGGTCTCCGGAGTCATAGTCCAGAACACAAATCACTGCACTGGAGCATCTTATGTTTAAAGACCTCCGAGGCTGTAGTTATATGCAATTGGATGAGACTGCAAGAGCCTTCAATCCCCCATAAAAAGGTAAAGGTAGTCCCCTGACATTAAGTCCAGTCATGTCTGACTCTGGGGTGTGGTGCTCATCTCCATTTCTAAGCCGAAGAGCCAGCGTTGTCCGTAGACACCTCCAAGGTCATGTGGACAGCATGACTGCATGGAGCGCCGTTACCTTTCCGCCGGAGCCGTACCTATTGATCTACTCACATTTGCATGTTTTCGAACTGCTAGGTTGGCAGAAGCTAGGGCTGACAGCGGAAGCTCATGCCGCTCCCCGGAATCGAACCTGCGACCTTTCGATCAACAAGCTCAGCAGCTCAGTGCTTTAACCCACTGTGCCACCGGGGCAGTCCCCCATACTGCCATGCAATATGCAATCAAAGCACCCCCAATAGATGGCCATCCAGACTGTTTATAAAAAACCCCAAAAGGAGATACTATCACACTCCAAAGCAGCATATTCCACCATCAATCAATGGAAATATGTTTGATAGTTGTCCTGTGCTTTCAGGTCATTTGCAACGTATAGCAATTCTAAAGAATTCCATGATGGCCTTCCCTAGGTCCTTCAAAAGGTATCACAGAGAGTAGGAGGCCTGTTTTCTGCTCTCCCAAAGGATAGAACTAGGTTTGAAGTTATAGGAGGGTAAATTTCGACTTCTTTTAAGTATGAATGTCATGAAAGCCACATTAGTTCAGCAATGGAACTAATTGGCTGGAGAGATTGTAATGTCTCCTTTGAACGTCTTCAGAAAGAGGCTGGGCAGCTATC